AGCGTGATCAAAAAAATTGAAAGGTATATTAGCTCTTTAGAATATGCACAGATTAAGGCTTATATTTATGTCATAATGAACAAAGAGCATTCTATTGATACTAGAATAAATAAAAAAAAACGTATAAACTAATATATAAATTACATAGTTTTTTATTTATAAACAATATATATATATATATATATATATATATATAAATAGGATATTGCTAACTTATAGACTTAAGAATTAGCTGCAAAGTTCTTAGTCATGGGAGCCCTCTGAGTATATTTGTATATTGATATATATTTATTCGCATATAATTTATTACAAATTTTATTTTTATTTGTTTATTATATATTTCTTTTAATTTATTTTCTTGTTGATGCTATATTGTTTTATTTATATTCTATTAAAAATTCATTTTTTTCTTTTTGTTATTTTTTATTTATTTATTTTTTTTTTTAATTTTTAATTTATCCTTTTTTGTTTTTTTTTCCAAATTATTGGATTTATTCCTGGCAAATAATTGCTAAATTAAAACACATATTGTTAAACTAACCTTATATAAATTCTATCAACAAGTTAAATGTTTGGTATGATGGTAAAGTAATAAGCCGTTGTCTTTAATCTAACAAGAAATATATAAACATTTTAAAAAATGATCTATAGGTTATCGGTGAAGCACTGTCAAAGAAACTCTGCTTAAAAGCGGAGACACTTGAAGAAAAGACTACGTATAGACTATTCTATGTCGGCTCTCAAATAATTAAGCACTCTTTAAAGCTTTCGTGTCACGCACGTGTCATCGCCAACAGGTAGCTTGACGGGAGCTAATTGCTCAGGCAGGTGAGGATTTGCTGCTCACTGAGGCGTTCATTAAGCTGCCTCTTTAGTTTTTTCCTCTTTAGATTTTCCTTTCGTTTCGATGTTTTATTGTTAATGTGTGCGCTTAACGTCGCGCCAACTACAAATTAAAACTAATAATAAATGTGCAAAAAAAAAAAAGAAAAAAACAAAACAAAAAATTATTGTGTGAAACTTGAGTGCGCCCCCAAACCGACGTATTATAATTATAATAATAATAATAATTACAGTGTGCGGCGGGGCGTGGATACCTAATACTAGAATACTGAGCGCCGCGTCTCGACCTCAACTCCAATCAATGTGTCTGTGTGTGTAAGTGTGTTTGTGTGCGTGTGCTGCGCGCTGCTAATTAAAACATTATTTTCAGCTGCCACTAACCATGCCCC